TGGGAGGGCTTGGGGGCATTCACATGTTGGGAGGGCTTGGGGGCAGCCACCAGTTGGGCACATCCTCCCTCTTCTCCTCTATGTAGTGGCTTCAGTGGGTGCTACAACGCAGTCAGCACTAATTGGAGGGACCCAAGGACCCAGGAGATCCTGACCTATTGAACTTCTGATGTTGTCTCCAAAGATGGAAATACCTATTTCAGCATCACTGTTCAGTCATCTGTGTTCGGAGGGTAGGGGGAGTAAATACCAAGAAAGAAGAGGCAACCAGGGTCCCAGGGTCCAGGCTTACGCTCATCTAGGCAGCACATATTCTTGCTTCCGTGTGTAAACACTGTTGCTGCCAGGGGAGGGGGGGAGGAAATCTCCCATTTCCCCTCATGGAAAGTCCCGGATATAGTGCACCATCCAACATGCTCCAGAGAGAGGGCAAAACCAGCAGGTGTCTCTCCTCTTCAAGTCTCCTGAGTGGGCAGCTCTTCCTGGCTCAGTGGTCAGTCCTTGTTGACAACAAGCACCCCCTGCCACCGGCACATGGATCAAAGGACCAATAAGGGAATCATCTCTTCATGACCTTAAAGTGCCAAGTCCTTCAGCACCAAGCCAGCTCCACACACGCGTTGTGGTTTGGCCCCTGCTATATGTTAATAACATATCACACTACATTTTTTCATGTTTTAAATGCCAGCTCTGATGTTTTCCCAACAAGAGATACATTGAGTGGCTACAGAATCCTCTGAACCTTTTTTTTTTTTTTAAACCCTAGTCCCTCTTAAATTTACCCCTGCTTCTGCTAGCAGTACTGAAGAAAAACAATTCATTTCTTTCAACCTCATTTTCTGGTCCTTGTTTTTGTTTTTATGAAAGAATTAAAATAGTCACTTGTTTAAAAAATGGCTCAATGGTCTAGAATTAAAAGGAAGAAAGGAAAGAAGGGAGAAAGGAAGGAGGAAAAGAAGGAAGAAAGGAAAGAAGGAGGGAGGGAACAAAGGAGGGAGGAAAGGAAGGAAGGAAAGTTATGTTTGTATAGCATCATGAATTGTAAGTAACAATGACTGAAGCTTTGCCTCAGGGCATCAGATGAAGGCGGGTTCTGAACTTGACTCTGACAGCACCTGCTGTCCTTCAGAAGTATAGAAATAACAAGGCTTAGACTTTAGCTATCAAGGATGATTAATTAAAATAGTATCAGATAGTAGGCTGGAGTACACTTCTTCACTCAGCCCTACTTCCTTCCCCTCCTTTCAGACTCCCCAGGGTCTCTGTCATCCCTACCATCAGACAGTATCCTATTCCAACCTCAACTTGCCTCAGGCACAGTTTGTGTAAATGTAGATTTCTAGGGTGTAAATGTTCACCCTGAACATTTAACAACCAGCTCTCTGATTCAGTTGAAGCTGGTTACAGCCCATCCCTGCTTGTAGATTTCTTTCATCAAACATCAAAATGCAAATGGCAGTAGATGAGAATGTGAGGCTACCATTTCAGGCCACTGAATATGTCCTACCACTTAGGTGTGGCATTCATAAATGTGTATGTAATTAAAACTCATTCTTGTGGGCTCATCGAATTAATAGTAGTCAGCGTCAGTTCTCTGAAGAGTTCTGAACAAAGAGTAACCTTGGATATTGGAGCTTCAGCTAAGCCAAGCCCAGCTTTCTCAGAGTTGTTGCTAGGGCAACAGCACAGAGGTAGGTGTGACGGAGCCCCACTTTAGGCCCACATTCTGTTGCCCTGACAACAGCACGTGTGGAGACAGTCATGTTACAGCCCACTATTTCTAACCCCGAGGCATGAGTTCTACCGATCTGGCAAAGCGGCTAGGTCTAGGAGCTAGGAGCTAGGAGCCGTACGGCTCCTCTGGTCATGTTGAATGCCAACAGAAACATGACATTGCCATAGGTTCTTGTAGGAGGCCCCTTAGATTGAGGCAGTTAATAGAGAGGAGGGGAGAGATAAGCCCACACTGGAACACCAGGCAAGTCCCCTCTGTGATGAGGTTCCCAGAGGGGGTGTTTTTGGAGGAACCTGACAAGGACAGATGGGGACCAGGTTCCAAGGCAGTGCTGGGACACAGGCAAAGGCTAGGGAAATCATGAGGGTGGAAAGCAAACAGAAAACAATCAAGGTTTACTTTTTTTTTTTTTCAAAAAGCAGGGCAAAAAAAAAAAAAAGGCTGAACTTTAAAAGCTGGTATGTTCTCAATGAATGTTGGTAGCTTGAAGGCAGAACTCAAAGCTTTATTGCCAAGACATAGATTTAGTCATTAAATCAGTCATTTAAAAAAGCATATATTAGATGCTTATGATGTTCCAGGCAGTGCTAAGTGCTAGGAATATAAAGAAAGGCAAAAATCATCCCTGCTCTGAAGAAAGGTGCATTCTACATGGGGAGACAACATGTAAATAACTAGTAAAATAAAAGATATAGAAATAATAACAATATTATAGTGCTTTAAGATTTGCAAAGTGTTGTATATATGTTATCTCATTTGATCCCCACAACAACCTTGTGAATTAGATGCTACTGTTACCCCCATTTTACAGATGAGGAAACTGATTATAGAGGTTAAGTGACTTACCCAATATCACACAACTTTTACCAGTGTGAGAAAGGATTTGAACTCAGGTATTTCCCACTCCAGGGCAAACACTCTAGCACCACCTACCTGGAGATAGGAGATAGCATTTGAGCTAAGTCTTCTAGGAAACTTATGTGCCCAGCATTCGAAGCTCTTGGAAATCTGGCCACGCCCTATCTTACTTCCCTAACTTGCCTGAGCTGGCAGCATTCTGACCTGTGCCTTTACAATTCAAACTTTTATTCCACCTGTACTCTCTCCCTGACCTGGAATGTTCTTCCTCCTTTTTACCTCCTCTCAGTTGCGCCACATTCATTGTGCATTGCTGGGCAGAGTACCCCTTGCCTCATCTTTCAAACAGTGATCATAGAATCACAGATTCTCAGAATTGTAAGGGACTTTGGAGGTCACCCAGTCCAGCCCCATTTCCCAGAGGAGAAATAAGGCTTTCCCTGCTTAGTATAAAGCTTTCTTTAGAGAATTACTGTGAGGAGAAAGACTTGTAGTCCTTAAAACGTGACCCAGAAATATAAGAGCTATGATTATTCATCACCCTGCAAGGGCCAATGCAGGATTCACATCTTCGAGGAAGCCCGACCAGAGAACCTTGGCTCATATTGACATCTTTGAGTTTGTGGTTTAGCAGTGTTTGTTGTCTAAATTATTTTCTATGAGTTTATTTTCTCTCCCCAGCTATTCTGTAATCTTCTTGAGGGTAGGGACAATGACTAATATAATAATGACTAATAAAAGTCTGCATCCCCCATGGTAGCTATGACATCATCTCTTCTGGGAGTTATTAGCCTTTTTGAGGTCTTTGGTCCCTCTGTAGACTTGCAGACCCTTTCTCAGAATATTTTCACATATATAAAATAAAATATGTAGTATTATAAGGGAAACCAATTATTTTGAAATATAGTTTTCAAAAAATAGATTTTTTTTAAGTTCACGGACTGCAGGTTAAGAATCTCTGATCTGGTTCTATCCCTTAATTTTACAGAAGAGAAAATAGATCCCCAGAAAGCAGAAGCAACTGATCTGAGGTCACATCAATATTGGAGTCAGAGGTGAAAACTTTTCCCACTATATTACTACATTCAGTCATTGCTACACATTCAGTTCTTGCTTGTTGGCTGCTGAAATGATATCCATGACCACCCCTACTTTGTCCCCCCCATACAGATGCCCTGTGGTTCCAGCATTCATTTTTAAGCATTTTTATTGGCAACCTACAAGCCTCAGTTGTTGTGGGTGCAGTGATAGTAGTGATGTCTGGGCCTGTACTTTCCTCATTCTAGTGACCCTCTCCCCCCAGTAGTAGATCCCCCAGTGAAGTGCTCCCTTCACTGATTTTTGTTGCTGTTGTTCAGTTGATTTCAATTGTGTGCAACTCTTCATGGCCCCATTTAGGGTTTTCTTGGCCAAGTTACTGGAGTAGTTTGCCATTTCCTTCCAACTTGTTTTACAGATGAGGAAACTGAGGCAAACAGGGTTAAGTGACTTGCCCAGGGTCACACAGCTAGTGCATATCTGAGGCTGACTTTGAGTTCATGAAGATGAGTCTTCCTGATTCCAAGCCCAAGGCTCTATCCACTGCACCACTTTGCTGCCCTTGCTTCACTGATACTGATCCAGCAACTTACCTGCAACTCCCATTCTTGAAGCTGAGGACACTGAGAGGTTCAATGGTAATACAGCCAGTAAAACCCAGAGGAAGGACACGTGGCCAGGTTGTCCTGATGTCGAGGCTCATCTTCTATTGAGAATACCATATTGCCTCTAATGCTCATGTCATAGACAACTTCAATTTATTCATCTCTCCTAAGACAGCTAGGTGGGGCAGGAGAGAGACAGAGAGAGAGAGAGAGAGAGAGAGAGAGAGAGAGAGAGATCACAGATCACTGCCCTGCTGGCTTCCATGGGGTTGTTGTAAGGACGGTGTTTGGTAAAGCATAAAATGCTAAGCCCAGCTTGGAGTCATGAAAGACCAGGGCTGAAAATCTTGCCTCCAGCCTTTAATAGCTAAATGACTTCACATCTCATAAGCTTCTGTTGCCTCATCTAGAAAATGGGAATGATTGTATTTGACTGTCCACTTCATGGACATGAATTGCTTCAGAGAAAAAGATTTGTAAACCTTAAAGTGATCTACAAGTGGATTTATTATTACCCCCAATAAGTAGATATGTATGAATCCAGTGTGAACACACATAGCGAGATGGACAGTTGTCATTACCCTTTCATTGACCATGTTCTACCATGATAACCTTACATTGGTTTTCCCAGTTGCCTAAGCCTATGGCAGTAGATTGAACGCGTGGCTTGCAATCAGAAAGACTCATCTTCCTGAGTTCAAATCTGACCTCAGACACTTATTAGCTGTGGGACCTTGGGCAAGTTACTTGACTCTGTTTGCCTCAGTTTCCTCATTTGTAAAATAGGTTCAGAGGATACATTGGTTTTCCCAATTGTCTAAGCCTATGGCAGGTTCAGTGGATAAAGTATCTGGCCTAGAGTCAGAAAGACTCATCTTTCTAAACTCAAATCTGGCTGAGATACTTACTAGCTGTGTGACCTTGGGCAGGTCAGTTAACCCTATTTACCTCAGTTTCCTCATCTGCAAAATCAACTGGAGAAGGAAATGGCAAACCACTCCTGTATCTTTGCAAAGAAAACCCCGAATGGGGTCATGAAGAGTCAGACATGACTGAAAACGACTGAACAACAACAGAAGGGACTTTAGAGGTCATCTAATTCAGTTTCAAACCCAGGTCCTTGGACTCCAGAGTCAACGCTCCATTGTCCCACACTACCTGTGGAGAGTAGATACTGTGCCAGAGCTGGAGTCAGGAGTTCAAATGCAGCCTCGAACATTTACTAGTTGTGTGACTTTGGGGCAAATCTCTGTTTGTCTCAGATTCCTCATTTGTAAAATGGGGATAATAATAGCACTTACCTCCCAAGGCTATTATAAGGATCAAATGAGATAATATGATAAAGCACTCAGCACAGTGCCTGGCACCTAGTAAGCACCATAGAAATGTCAGCTATTATAATTATTATTATTATTATCAAGCTAGTGAGGGATGATTGTGAGGAGAGCTCTCCAAGATTCCTTAGAAGCCCTCTTATTCCAATACTCCTTCATGCCTTCTTGGGACGCCATTTGCCTCTTGGCCCTTCCCGTTCCTCGGTGCCAGGCCCCATGGACTCTCTGATTGCTTCCCTTGAACCCTCTCTACGTGACAGCTCTGTCTGCCACCCTTTACATCAGCATTCAGAGGGCAGCCTGTCAGGGGCCAGTCACGTGGAGTCACACTCCCAAGGGTAGCAAATGCTTTAGAGAGCCTATGAATTAAAGGAGAGACCTCAAGCCCATGGCAAAGACATTTTAATCAAACAAATTAACATATATAAAATGCTTTGCAAACCTTCAAGCTCTATATAAATGCTAGCTATTATTCATGGTTGGTTTTTGGTGTTTTTTTTTCAAGAGTAGTTCATTGGTACTAAAAGAATCCCTTTGCAAAAATGTTTGGATGACCAGAATTTATACTTAGACTACAGGCGCCTAGGGGGCACGGTGGTTAGAGTGCAAGATCTGGAGGTAGGAAGACCTGAGTTCAAATGCAGCTGCAGACACTAACTAGCTACGTGACCCTGGGCAAGTTGGCTTCACTTTCCTCATCTGTAAAATGGCTATGATAATAGTAGCATCTACTGCCGAGGGCTGTTGTGAGGATAAAATGAAACAATATTTGTAAAATCCTTTGCAAGCCTTAAAGTGATACAGAAATGCTAAGTAGCTATTTTTATTACTCTTTTAATCTTTTAAAATTTTATTTATTTTATTTTTAATTTATGAAATAAAATAGGCATTGCAATAACATAGTAGAAAAAGATTGCATATAGTAAAAAAAAAAGATTGCACATGAAACTGCAAATCTATTACATAAAACTTGCTATTCCTTTCAAATATATAATAAAGTTATCTTGTAACATTTTTTTTCCTTTTTTTCTTCCTTCCCCCTCCTCCCTAGAGATGGCTACCATTAGACACAAATGTGTGTGTGTACGTAAAATCATTCAATACATACTTTTATTTATCAGTTCTTTCTCTGGATGCAGATAGCAACTTCCTTCGTAGGTCCTTTATCTTATTGAACTCAGTTCAGCATTACTTCAGGAAACAGATCCTCTTCATCCCACTGAACTCAAACTATATACTATGGGTATTGTGTATCCAGTATGTATCTGTAAAGGTATGGTTGAATCAGTCAGGAAGACCTGGGACACTAATTAGCTGTGTGACCCTGGACAAGTCACTTAACCCCTCTATTCCTTGGTTTCTTTACCTGTAAAGGGGATTGTATTAGATAGTTCCCAAGGTCTTTTCAGGTCCTATTTCTACAATCCTGTGATAAATATGGCTTTTAATGCATTCCATGTTGACCATGTAACATTTCATTAATTTTATATGTCTGTCCATATTGTTTCCCTGCTAGCTTCCTGAAGACAAAGATTATGATATTGAGGTTGATGTAAAACTAAGGTAAGATATTTGTAAAGTATTTTGCATACTTTAAAGTATTTTGTAAATGCTGGCTATTACAATCAAAACTTTGAAAAACATCATAGGGGAGCCATGGAGCAGGTGGGTAGTGAGGTAGATAGAGCACTGAGGCTGGTAGCAGGAAGACTGGAGTTCAGATCTGGCTTCAGATAATTGCTACCTGTGCTACTCTGGGCAAGTCACCTTATCACTGTCTGCCTCAGTTTCCTCACTTGTAAAATGGGAATAATAACAGCACCTGCCTTCCAGGGTTGTTGGGAGGATTAAATAAGATAGGGGCCGCTAGGTGGCACAGTGGATAAAGCACTGGCCCTGAAATCAGCAGGATCTGAGTTCAAATGTGGCCTCAGACTAAACATTTGACACTAGCTGTGTGACCCTGGGCAAGTCACTTAACCCCAATTGCCTAAAAAGAAAAAAATAAGATAATCATTGTAAAGTACTCAGCACAGTGTCTGGCACGTTGTAATTGCCATATAAATAGTAGCTATTATGATGTGGATTACTTAATATCCATTTGCTCATGATGTTTGATGATGAAGGCAGCTTAAGACAAAGGAATGACATATAAAGAATATCTGTAGAATTATTCCCACTATTTTCAGCAATTTCAGTTATATATTTGGGAAAAGTAAATGTTTAAGTAAAGATACTTGGAAGACTATAGTTTCCAAAGAATCGAAGTTGAACATCACCCAGAGGGCATTGAAAGGTCACATAGAGAGCTGCAGGACATCACAAATGACGGGGGAGGCAGCAGAATGCAGTATAAAGGATAGGAAAAACAATGTATGACCAGCTGCGTGCCAAGTATCTACAAGATTCCAAAAAAAAAAAGATGGAAACTTCTCCCTGCCCCAGCACTTTGGATCCCCCCCCACCCCATGTCACGTTTACAGAAGGGCCAGACTTGTATAGAAAGGGGAAGGTATGGATGGGTTTTTATCTCTTGATAGAGCCCTAGTTCTGAAGTTAGGAAGATCTGAGTTCAAATTCTACCTCAGACGCATACTAGCTGTGTGACTCTGGGCAAGTCACTTAAACCTGTTTGCATCAGTTTTCTCATCTGTAAAATGGGGATGACTGCACCTACTTCCTAGGATCGTAGTGAGGATCAAGTGAGATACTTGTAAAATGTTTAGCACTGTGCCCAGCACATAGTAGGTGCTATATAAATGCTTGTTCCCTTTACCCCTCCCCTATGTTTTGAGGGAGTACACCCATGTTGCCAACTGGAGTACTGGGGTATAAATAAAGGTACACACTCTTTAGCATTTCAGCCCCAACCTCCAAAATGCATTCAGCAATACAGTACTGAAGCCAGAGTAAAACAACCATTTCCCTTCCTTCACCCTTCTCTTTTCTCCATCCAACAGGTTTCCTTCTTTTCATTCCCCCTGCCATCTGTCATGGTGTCTTCCCTCACCTGTTTTTCCTGTTTACCTTCCTATGCTGTTAAAGATTTCTGTGCATTGTCATGGTGAGGAGATGCACGAGTCAGAGGGGCAGGTAGGATGGGGCTGGTTTTGTGCTCAGAATGACAGGTCTTGGGACAAGAGTTAGGACAGCAGCAGTCAGGGGGTCACGTAGGACACTGCAATGACATTCAGACTTGATACAAATGGGAATGCATGTGTACGTGCATCTTTCTTCTGCATTGCACCAAAGTACTTTGAGTGGAAGGTAGATGGAGCTATGATTATAGCTACCCAGTGGTGATTCTAGGGAACTTTTTTTTTATTAGCAGCTTGCATCATTTCTGGGGATGTTAAGGAAGATGAAGGCATTGACTAAGCACTTTTTAGTATTAGATATGGTAGATGTACAAATAATATTAGGGTGGGATGAAGTTACTTAAGACAGATTCAGCCTGAAAGGATGGGAAAATGACCAGGTAGAAAAAGGAAGAGCTTTAGAGAAACATTTCCTAATAAGGAGCAGCAGAATGGTTCTCAACCCTCTTGTTCCCAAGCCTAGCCACATCCTGCCTTCTGAGACATGGCACCCCTTAACTTCTCTCTCTCCTTTTAGGAGAAAGTGTGGTCTAGTTACTTCACTGAGGGTCAGCCTGCTACAGTGACCCAAGTGCTGGACACAAAGTCAGAAAAACCTGGGTGTGAAACCAGCCTCTGGCAGTTATTGGCTGTGTGGCCCTGTCTAGGTCACTGAGCCTCTAGGAACTTCAGAATCTTCTCTGAGTAAAATGGAGCTAGGTGGTGCAGCGGACAGAGCAC